ACACCTGACATGATCTGCAATTTTAAACTCTCCAATCAAATATATCTGAAAATGACTGTACACCTTCATTAATAAATCATATAAAATATAACATGCCATAAACTAAGATTATGATTATAAATCTATTGGTTTATTATGCATGTAATATGAAACATGTTTTCTTCTTATTTGGGAAATAGAAAAGGAAAACCAATTAGGCTATATATTAAAACCAAATATACATTGCATATTCTGAAAGATTTTTATGTTTGCTAGCTTTATTTTCCCAATTAGAATTCCTTCAATAACACCCTATGGTATTTAAGACACTAGCTACATTTCCTGTGATACATTTATCCCTGGAATTTCAAAGAATATCTCTTGTCAGTGATTTCAAATACTCACATTTTGGTTCAAAAAACCAATGCTTCTCCTTGTATGCAGCCATAAGAAACAATGAGTTTGTGTCCTTTGTAGGGACATGGATGAATCTGGAAACCATCATTCTCAGCAAACTGACACAAGAACAGAAAATCAAACACCGCATGTTCTCACTCACAGGTGGGTGTTGAACAATGAGAACACATGGACACAGGGAGGGGTGCATCACACACTGGGGTCTGTTGTGGGGGGCAAAGGAGGGACAACAGGGGGTTGGGGAGGTTGGGGAGGGGTAACATGGGGAGAAATGCCAGATGTAGGTGACAGGGGGATGGAGGCAGCAAATCACATTGCCATGTGTGTACCTATGCAACAATCCTGCGTGATCTGTACAATAAAAAATAATAAAATAAATTAAAAAAAAACAATGCTTCTTTCACTGAACGTTATTGTAGATACTTCATGCATCTATGTGTGATCATGGAACACATGGATATGGATGGCTGATCCATGGATATAGAAACAGTTCCTAGTGGCTACAGTTTCCACAGTTCCACGCAGGCTTCTCATTATCTCAGTCAGCAGAGAAGTATGGCACTCTCCAAAGCAGATGACCAAACTATAAAGATGCTTAAACATAATGTACAAATAGTAGAATACTCTCACCTGCTGGAAAATTTCTTCATAGAAAAACAAAGACCATCTTTGCATGACTATGTAAAACTTGACCTAATTAGTAGAAATTAACCTGCACAAGCCCCTTATTTTGTGACACAAGTAAATAAAAATGTACCAACACTAAAATTTGTTGTGTGAAAGTTTCCTCAATTATGGCAAAGCAACCATAAGTACTTCACTGTGATCTGAGGATTTATGATAACTTTCATGTGCCCAGCTATTATGCTTTGTACCTAACAAGGACAATGCTGAAACTTAACTTCATAGAAAAACCCATGACAGAGCTTACTCACGGGCAGAAGTCAAACTCTTCAGTCTTTCAGTCATTCAAATATCATTCAAATAGCATACCCCTAAATCCATTTATTTCCTGTTTAAAAATCTCCCTATATCTCTCCAACCTCATCCCAGTAACTTCCACAAATTTTTACAAGAAAGGGGGATATGACAAGAAAACATCACACCTAGAGGACTCAATACCAACTGAAGACATACTCTACCTTGGGCAGAAAGTTCAGTTATCTCTTGAGTTATTCTATCAGGAAAATAATTATCTCATTTATGTGTAGAGACAATCTATGACTTTTATATCATCAGTATTTTAAATAAAAGAGATAGGAAGGTCATTATAGGCTAATCAAATATTTGGAATAAATCAAAATAGAGCAATCTCTCTGAACACTTTCCCCCCCACCACGTTAGAAAATCTCTAGAGGAAAAAGACTTGTGTCTCACCAAGAAAGAGTCATTAAATGCCAGGTAATGTGAAAAGCCTATAATGTGAAAAGACAAATTCTAAAGTAATTGAAAAATAAATCATGAATTTCACATTATGAAATGCTGAGCTATTGCAAGTAATATTTAAGCCAGAATGAAGGGGTAACCAGCCTCAAGTTCTCTTCCCTAACCATATTCCAAGCAAGGAGGATTTTACCCTTCCTGTTAGAAAGTCCATGTCCAAGAAACCCTGAGGCTCAGAGGCAGAGAGCCTAACAATGGAAGTTGACACTCTGATTCTTGGAAAAATAGGTAATCAGAGCTCTGCAGTTTTAGGTTAGAATACAGGATTTAAATCAAGTCCTGAATCTGTCAGATATAACCATAATGATCCATGGGATTCATTCAATCCTTTAATTTTATTCCAATATCAATTCAATAACTGTTTCTACAATAAAGAAATCTGTATTTGCCAACAAAGGAGCAGTGCTTAAGGGCTTCCATTGCTATTTCCATGACTTGGTTTATCATTGGCTTCATTGAACACCTTCATCTCATCATATGTTTAGGTAAATGTTGGATCTTCAGTGGCATAAGAGCCTTAGATAAAGAATCACATAAATACTTTTCTGAGACAACTAAGGTCATTATCATGTAACGGGCTCCACTAAATGTTGATCATTTTCAACTTACCTAATAAATAGATTAAATTCATACACCCCAAATGTAACATGTACCACTTCTAAAATTCGAATAGCATGTCTATAAGTACTGTGCTTTCTTACTGATAAGTGCTAAAGGAGGCACAAACATATCTTTACTTCTGAAAAACTATCAGATATGATTAAAGATACTGTGGATTAAATTGTGACTCCAAGACGGAGAACTAATATAAAAATAAGCCATAATTCTCTATGTCCCTTGTAGCTGAATTCAAATAACTACTAATGCTTTCTACTTGTCTGAGTGATGCAAGTGTTAGGTCAGATAATGGCTACAAGAGCCCAGAGTCAGAATTTATTTGCTCCAATAATAAAAAATACATCAAAATATCACCTAATGTAGAAATTCCCAAAAATATGCCATAGTCCATAGTAATTCTCTATATTCCATACCTATTACCAAACTAGAAAGTTAAATATTGATATAATATACATTTATGTGTTTAAAAGGAGAAATGAATGTGTATTAGTCCATTCTCACATTGATATGAGGACATACCTGAGACTGGGAAATTTATAGAGAAAAGAGGTTTAATTGACTCACAGTCCACGTGGCTGGCAAGACCTCAAGAAATTTACAATCATGGCTCTTCACATAGCAGCAGGAGAGAGAATGAGTGCCAGCAGGGGAAATGCCAGACACTTATAAAACCATCAGAACTCATGAGAACTCACTCACAATTATGAGAACAGCATGGGGGAAACTGCCCCCAAGATTCAATAACCTCCCACCTGGTTCGTCCCACAACACATGGGAATTATGGGGATTACAAATCAAGATGAGATTTGAGCAAGAACACGGCCAAACCATATCAGCATATTATGTAGTCCCTGCTATTTTTAAGACTGAGGTGGGAGAATCCCTTGAGCCCAGAAGTTGGGAGTCCAGCTTGAGCAAAGTAGAAAGACCCTGTCTCAATAAAGAGAAAGAAAGCTAGAGAGCAGAAGCCTGTATTTGGAGTGTCTTTTCTCTAAAAGTATGAAATAATTCTAAAAGCCATAAATGAAAGCCTGAAGAGCTGAGTGAAAGTTTCTGTAGATGGCTTTACCCTAAAGGACAGCACGTAACATTGAAGGTCTACCAAGGAAAAGAGCCCTTTATAAACAACAAGGCTTTCATTTGAGGCCACAGGGGGATTCTCTTAGAGTAGGAATGCACAGAGATTGGGGCAGTCCTCAAAGGAACTGAAGTCCAGCTTGCATTATCTAATTTCTTGATTGCATTAAGACTATCTGGGTTTTTTTTTCTTTTTTTCTTTTTTTTTTGCTTCTACAGTCTCAACTCTTGAGTAGAAATACAAGAAATTCTGTCTCAGGGAAAAAAAAGTCTTGAATTGCTTTCTTAACTTTTCATATGCAAAATCAGGTACTCAAAAAGTAACAAAGTGTAGAAGACATGGCTTGATTGAAAGGCAAGTGCAATAAAAACAAATGTAGCCGATCCAGATAATTTAAAATAAGCATTTTTAAATAAGCTTAGTGTGTGCAAATATTAAAACACAAGCTAGATTATAAAATAAACCAAGTAAACTGAAAAACTAAAAACTAACCTATATAATAACAAATTAAAAACTTAATGGTTGGTTTTAACAGCAAATTAGAGACAAAAAAATTAGAGAATCAGTACATTGCAAGAAATATTAGAAGAAAATATGCAGACCAAAGCAGACAGTGAAAAATGCAAATGCAGAAACTAGTATAAAAGAGATATAAAGGACACAATGCAAAATTCTGACATACTTTTAATTAATTACAATTCCAGAAAAAGAAGAGGAAAAAGAATCAGGAAGGCAAAATACTTGAAGAGATATAGTTCAAAATACTATAAAACTACTGCAAGATATTAAGCTATGAATTTATAAAGCGTCCTGTATCTTACATAAAACTCAGTTATCAGCTGAATAAAACAGTGACTTCAGTCCTTGCCACACAAAACAGAAGAAACAGCCAACAACTGCCTGAATTTCTGACTCACAAAATTTTGAGATAACGTAAAATGATGGTTAACATCACAAAACCTGTGGATCCATGCATCCTACATGATGGCAGGACCACAATGAAAAGTGACACCCCAAAGTTGTGATGTTTCTACAACAATTTAAAAGTGTATGGAATTGGCTTTAGTACCCAAAAATAGAGGCCTCCAGGATATTATAAGGAAGGGCTAAAAATACAGACGTAACTATTCTGGAGGTTGCGAAAAAAGTGAGTTGTTATCTGGTGCCAAAAATTTTAGTAATTCTGTCACCTATGATCAAGTAGAAAATTTAAAATATGCATAAGCGAATAGGTGGATTTGGTTAAAATTTAAATACAATATTGAGACTTACGGCTGTTTCTTATAGCATTGTATCTTAGTCATAGATTTTTTTAAAAATTACTTAAAATGTTAACTGTTACATTTTCAGATAATTTACAAGAAACATAAAACAGCCAGAACTTGCTGGTATCGAAGATAAAAATTGTTTCCTTTTCCAGACTCTGCAAGAGCTAAATTCTCTGAAAGGAAGAAAGGTCATCATATAATAGTCATTTCAAACTTATGGATGCTAAGACACTATGAAAAGACTTCAGAAACATTTCATAGTGTGTCTCATAAGTACTTTAAACAAGACAAACATAATTCTAAGATTCTTAAGAGTATTATCTGCACACAGAGTTTCAGCTCAAATCTGAGAAAGGCCTGTTTCAAAGATATTTGCAAATATGGTGCTTGTATATTCCACAAAGTCTTTAAATACATTACACAGAAGGAAGCACCATAGCCTTCCCTATTGAACAGGAGCATCTATTTTAATTACCTATCCCTCCCTTTCTCCATTCTGCACCGGGCATATAGAAGAAATATCCTATCTCAATTGACATGTAATGGAAAAACACCGTAATTTAAAACTTGCACAATAGGACCTGCACCCAAGCAGCCCCATCCACTCTCAGTCTGGATATAGAGGATGAGATCTTGAATGTCAAAGAGATGCCATGATGGGATGACTTTTTAATTGAGCTGGGAGCATCTAAATCTTGTCTTCCGCTTTGGGATCCTTGAATTTCCCTTAGAAGTCTGAAAATTTAACTGAGAAGACCCTGTCTACATACTTCCTTATCTACATGAGGAGGGACACTCTTATTCTAACTATACTTAACTTTTACACAAGTTTTTCTATAGCATTTCTCATCTCTGAATTTCTCAGTGTGTATATCAAGGGATTCAACATGGGTGAGATAACTGTATAAAACACAGTTATGAATTTATCAATAGGAAAGTTTGAAACAGGTCTAACATATATGAAAATACAGGGAACAAAAAACAGGACAACCACTGTGATGTGGGAGCTGCAGGTAGACAGGGCTTTACACCTCCCTTCCTGACTGTAAGTTTTAAGGGAGTTTAGGATGACTCCATAGGAGATTAGTAGAAGGGTGAAGATGATCATACAGATTGCTCCACCATTGAAAACCACAGCAAGGCCTACAAAGTACGTGTCAGTGCACACCAGTTCCAATAATGGGTACATGTCACAGAAAAAGTGGTCAATGACATTGGGGCCACAGAAAGGGAGACTGTACACAACAGCAATTTGAAACACAGAATGCATAAAACCTCCAATCATAGCCAACACCAACATAAGGATGCAAACCTGTCGATTCATGATGGTCAAATAGCGCAGTGGCTTACAGATTGCCACATAGCGATCATAGGCCATGCCCACCAGAAGGAAGACCTCTGTACCACCAAACAAGTGGTCTATAAAGAGCTGGCCCATGCAAGCTGGGAAGGAAATAGTCTTTTTATCACAGAATAAGTCTACAATCAATACCGGAGAAATGGTGGTGGAATACGCAGCGTCTATAAATGACAGGCAGGCAAGGAAGAAGTACGTCGGCGAGTCCAAGGAAGGACTGGCAATAATAGTCACCACAATGAGCAGGTTCCCCACCATTGTCACAATGTATGTGAGTAAAAACATGACAAATAATGCTTTTTGCACATCAGGATCCTGAGAAAAGCCCAGGAGGACAAATTCTGTAATATTGCTCTTCCGTCTCATTTACTCTTTGTTCAGGCTTATATCAGAGATGAGAGCTCAGGAGAACAGGACTGTAATGAAACAGTAAACAGGAATATGATTACATCCACTGAGATGCAGGGCATACCTTCATTGTTGTATTCTCAATAGTGATTTACACACAATAAACATTTAGTAAGTCTCTATTGAGTTCTGCAGCCATAGAGCCCATCTTCTCCTGACAATTCTATTTCTCCTCAAATACTTTAGTTTCCACCACAGGTAAAGTATTCTACCTCTAAGTTTCAGTGAATATTCTATACAGAAGGAGAGTTAAAGTCCCAACAGCCATTCATACATTTTATAACTTCTTATTTAAAGCATTTTTCTTGACACAGAAGTCAGCTATGATAAACAGGTAACAGGCTCTTGGTCTCAAGAAACTTACCGTCTGGTGGTGGACATAAATTCTAAATAAATAAATTGACATAGATTTAGTCCCTTGTGTTTGTACTTGTGATATCTTTATAATATGATCTGCGTAGCACCAAGAATAACATCTGAAATATCTCACTCAGTACGCTGACCATCTACTGTTTGACTTTCATTCCTTCATGCCTCAAAGGATGGTCAGTATTCATTAGTATTTCATCAAATGCCAAAAGACAAAACTCTGAACTGAATAAATAGCTATGATATTATTTATTACATTGTTCCCTGTAGCAATTAATTGGTCTGACTCTCTGTCCACCTTATAAGGAGCTGTGATTCCCTGTATTTTGTCCTTGCCTATACCCCAATTTTTATAACACTTACATACAATTTTCTAATTTTCAGCAATTACTTTGAACTCAATTGAACTAACCCATGACTGATACCAACTACCAAATATTCCATGAGTATTTTTTTCTGAATTCTTGGGATGAGCTAGGTAGCGAGAGAGGAGAAAATAGACACTGTAGAAAGAGGTATAGAACAGTGGGACATGGTTTTATTCATAACACTATTTAGATACCAAGAGCACTCAAAAATAAAATAATACCAGATTCCAAAAAGAAGCATATCCTAAGATAAATTCCAAGTTCCGTGTAAGAAGGCATGGCTTTGAGTCATTTTCTGAATGCATTTACAAATGTGTCTCAGTTTGCTCACTGGAAAATAGATTAAATTTGAGAAATTCAGAATCCTTTCTAGTCAACTATCTACAGAACTATTAGAACGCCTCTCCTTTATGGTATTCTGCTGACAATTTTTCATTTTTCATAAATTTATACTTCAATAAAATTTACAAGTTTATGACTCTTACATGAAAAATGATAGTGGGACATGGGGTTTCATGATTACAGTGAGCAAATAGCAACTTTAAGTTTCTCACTCACTATGTACCTATGTAAGATCCAAGACATCCAAGAAAGTGTAGCATGTGGTAAATAATGTGGACACTGGAGCCACACTGCTTCAGCTACAACCTCAGCTTCACCATTTTTTATGAGATGTTGGGCCATTTACTAAAGCTCTCTGTCACTTATTTGCATCATTTTTAGAATGGGCATCCCAACAGTCCTTACCTGTTTGAGTTGTTGTTTTGTTAAAACAAAGTAAAGTGCCTGGAACACTGACTGGTGCCTCTTAAGGGCTCAATAAATGACAGCTATTCCTTGTGTTCTCGAATGCTTCACTGCAAACATAGACTCAGAATAAATCATGCACATCTCTGTCAACTTGAAAAGATTTATAGACATAGCCCAGGAAAAAAGGATAAGATATCTACAATTCAGGAAAGGCTTTTGTGAGCAAACAATAACATTTTATGTCTTATAAAATAATGATTTAACTATATGAGTGTTAATTTTACCTGCGATGGAATGTATCTTAACAAGAAGCAAGCAGAATTATACTAAAAAGTTGGACCCACATTGGGGAGAGCTCCGGAAATGAAAAGAAGGCTAAAATCAAAAACAGAGAAATTTTAGTTAACAAAGGAGTATCCACAGCAATGAGAAGATTAATGGGATAATTAAGTAAGGTTAGTATTCTTTTAAAATCCTCTTCAGAAAGATTCAGTTTAGTGAGGAAGGACTGAAAATGTACCCTCCTGTGGATCTCCAGGGTGACTCAGGAGTTTTTTTGAGCTAAAACAAACACAGACCTGATCTTAGTAAAAGAAAAGAAAAAGAAAGAAAGAAAAGAAAATTAAAAAAAAAAAACCATTGTTTTTCTAAGTCTCTAGATCTGATGGTCAAGAACAAACTATTTACAGAGAACAATGGGACAGGACTCTCTGATTATTCACTGCTGAGGAAAACAGCAGAAATAGTGAACCTCAAATGTAAACAGAATTATTCCATTTATATAGATCTGGCAGTGAAACAGGACATGTGCAGAGAGTTCGAGCTGTCTCTAGAAGCCAGCTGTGATGAACATTCCACATGTCTCCTTCACATTACCATTTCCAGCTGATGCCAGAGTTCTGGCATTATTGAAGCTAAAGACCAAGAGAGATGCACCTGCTGAAGCACACAAGTGAATAATGTATTCTATAGCTAGTTCTGTTATTTTTTCACACCCTACTTGCTTCAAGGGTTAGTGACTTTTCCCTTTCCATCAACAAAACTAGATTTCAACAGGATAATCATTTTGGCAATTTAAATGTTTGCTTGTAAAAAAAAAATAGGGTATGTAAACTATCCTCTATCATTTAAGTAATTAAAAGTGGAATACTTTAGAAACTGGAAAATACAATTACTAGGCTTTCAATGCTGTTAAGTTAATATTTTTCTAGAAAAAGCATGATTTAACATAGTTTCCTAAGAACATGATATTTTTAAAAGATAAAATGCCATAATAACAAAGAACCTCTATAATATTATATTTCACAGTCACAGTTTAATAAATCTAGCTAAATGACAGTGGACTAGGCACTTTTCTCAGCATATTTTCTCTACTAGTATGTTTGCTGGTATACCTTTAGATTCATGAGTAAAAACCCATACGTTGCTTCTAGAACATAACAGGCATTGGTTCCTTCACACTCTAACACATTTGAAATGATCTGCAATTGTAAACTCTCTAATCGAATATACCTGAAAGTAATTGTACGCCTTTATTAATACACCATAAAAATAGTAATCGTATACCTTTATTAATGTATCATATAAAATATAATGTGAAAAACTAAGATTATAATTACAAATCTATTGATTCATTATCCATATGATATGGGACATCGTTTTCTTATTATTTGGCAAATAGAAAAGGAAAAAAATTAGGCTATATATTAAAACCAAATATACATTCCATATTCTGAAAAATATTAATGTTTTCTAGCTTAACTTTCCCAATTAGATTCCTTCAACAAAATCATATTTAAGACATTAGCTAGGCTTCAACATATCACAAGAATTTTTAATGAATAGCTCTTGTCAGTGGTTTCAAATACTCACATCATGGTCCAGAAAAGCAATGCTTCTTTCACTGAGCGTTAAGGTAGATACGTCATGCATCCATGTGTATAGAGCAGATGAATATGAATGGCTGATCCACAGATTTGAAATTAGTTTCTAGTGGCTACAATTTCCACAATTCCACACAGGCTTTTCACTATCTCAGTTGTTACAGAAGTATGGCACTATCCAAAGCAGATAACCAAAATATAAAGATGCTTAAATATCATGTACAAAGATAGTTAAATATTCTTACCTGCTGGCAAATTTCCTCATAGAAAAACGAAGATACTATTGTTGCATTACGATGTAAAAATTGACCTAATTAGTGGAAATTACCGTTGACAAGACTCTAATTTTGTGACACAAGTAAACAAAAATGTGCCAACACTAAAATTTGTGACGATAAAGTTTCCTCAATTATGGTTAAGCAAGCAGAAGTACTTTACTGTGATCAAGGATTTATGACAACATTCATGTGCCCAGCTATTAATCTTTGTACCTGTTAACAAAGGCAATGCTGAAATTTAGCTTCATGGAAAAATAAATGACAGAGCATTGTCACAGGCAGAAACCAAACTCTTCAGTTTTTTGGTCATTCAAATGTCATTCATATAGCATATCCCTAAGTCCACTTCTTTCCTAATTAAAAACACCTCCCTATGTCTCCCCTACTTCATCCCAGTAAATTGAGAACTTTCACAGATTTTTACAAGAAATGGAGGATATGACAAGAAACATCACACCTAGAGGACTCAATACCAACTGAAGACATGCTCTATCCTGGGCAGAAATTTAACTCTCCAGGTATCTCTTGGGTTATTCTATAAGGAAAATAATTATCCCATTTATGTTTAGACACAATTTATGACTTTTACATCATCACTATTTTAAATGACAGTGAGAGTAAGGTCATTATAGATTAGTTAATTCGAATATTTGGAATAAATTCAAATGAAGTAAACTCTCTGAACACCTTTTTTTCCCTTAGAAAATCCCTAGAGGGAAAATGCTTGTACCTTACCAAGGAAGGGTAGCTAAATGCCAAGTAACGTGAAAAGCCTATAATGTGAAAATAAAAATTCTAAATTAAATTGAACAATAAATTATGAGTTTCACATTATAAAATACTGAGGTAAGGCAAGTAATATTTAAGCCAGAATGAAGGGGAAACCAGCCCCAGGTTCTCTTCCCAAAGCATATTTCCAGCAAGGAAGGCCTTACCCTTCCTGTTAGAAAGTCCATGCCCTAACTAACACAGATTTACAAGAAAAAAACAAACAAACCCATTCAAAAGTGGGTGAAAGATATGAATAGACACTTTTCAAAAGAAAACATATATGAGGCCAACAAAGGTATGAAAACATGTTCATCATCACTGGTCATTAGAGAAATGCAAATCAAAACCACATTGAAATAGCACCTCACACCAGTTAGAATGGCAATTATTAAAATATCTGGAGACAATAGTTGCTGGAGAGGATGTGGAGAAATAGGAACACTTTTTCACTGTTGATGGGAGTGTAAATTAGTTCAACCATTGTGGAAGACAGTGTGGCGATTCCTTAAGGACCTAGAAATAGAAATACCACTTGACTCAGCAATCCCATTACTGGGTATATACCCAAAGGATTATAAATTGTTCTATTATAAAGACTCATGCACACGTATGTTCATTGCAGCACTGTTTACAATAGCAAAGACCTGGAACCAACCCAAATGCCCAACGATGATAGGCTGGACAATGAAAATGGGGCACATATACACCGTGGAATACTATGCAGCCATAAAAAATCATGAGTTTGTGTCCTTTGTAGGTACATGGATGAATCTAGAAACCATCATTCTCAGCAAACTGACACAAGAACTGCATGTTCTCACTCATAGGTGGGTGTCAAACAATGAGAACACATGGGCACAGCGAGAGTAGCATTGCACATTGGGGTTTGTTGGGGGGACTAGGGGAGGGACAGTGGGGGATAGGGAGTTGGAGAGGGATAACATGGGGAGAAATGCCAGATATAGGTGATGGGGATGGAGGCAGCAAACCACATTGCCATGTGTGTACCTATGCAACAAGCCTACATGTTCTGCACATGTACCCCAGAACTTAAAGTGCAATAAAATATATTTAAAAAAAAGAAAGTCCATGCCTGAGAAGCCCTGAGGCTCAGAAGCAGAGAGCCTAAGAACGGAAGTCGACACTCTGATTCTTGGAAAGATAGGCAATCATAGTTCTGCAGTTTTAGGTTAGAGTACAGTCTTTTGATCAAGGCTTGAATCTATGTTACATATAACCATAATGATTTGTAGTTCATTCATTCAATCCTTTAATTTTATTCCAATATCAATTTAGTAACTGTTTCTACAATAAATAAATTTGCATTTGCCAAAAAGGGAGCAGTGCTTAAGGGCTTCCACTGTTATTTCCATGACTTGGCTTACCATTGGCTCCATTGAACACCTTCATATCAACACGTGTTTAGTTAAATATTGGATCTTCTGTGTCATAAAAGCCTTAGATAAAGACTGCCATAAATACTTACCTGAATCAGCTAAGGTGTTTATCATATAACAGGCTCCAATAAAAGTTCGTTATTCTCAACTTATCTCATAAATGGATTAAATTCATCTACCCCAAATGTAATACATATCACTTCTAAAATTTGCATCTTAAGAGCGATGAGATAGAAGCACCAGGTAACCCATTCAGGAATCTATCAGATTAACAGCAGATTTCTCGGCAGACACCTACAAGCTAGAAGGGATTGGGGCCCTATCTTCAGCCTCCTCAAACGAAACAATTATCAGCCTAAAATTTTGTATCCAGCGAAACTATGCATCATGTACCAAGGAAAGATAGTCTTTTTCAGACAAACTAATCCTGAGATAATTCACCATTACTGAGCCACCACTACAAGAACTGCTGAAAGGAGCTTGAAATCCTGGAACAAATCCTGGAAACACAATGAAACAGAAACTCTGTAAAGCATAAATCACACAGGGCCTATAAAACAAATATACAAGTTAAAAAGCAAAAACAAAAGAACCAAAGTACAGGTTTGTCAAAGTTCAGATGGTTGTAGTTGTGTGGCATTCTTTCTGAGGCCTCTGTTTTGTTCCATTGCTCTATATCTCTGTTTTGGTACCAGTACCATGCTGTTTTGATTACAGTAGTCTTGTAATATAGTTTGAAGTGGGGTATCGTGATGCCTCCAGCTTTGTTTTTTGTTGTTGTTGTTGTTGTTGTTTCTTTTTTTTAGGATTGTCTTGGCTATGCGGGCTCTTTTTTGGTTCCACATGAAGTCACGTGCACAAGTATGTTTATTGCAGCACTGTTCACAGTAGCAAAGACTTGGAACCAACCCAAATGCCCATCAATGATAGACTGGATAAAAAAAATTTGGCACATATATACCATGGAATACCACGCAGCCATAGAAAATGATGAGTTCATGTCCTTTGCAGGGACATGAATGAGACTGGAAACCATCATTCTCAGCAAACTGACACAAGAACAGAAAACCAAACACTACATGTTCTCACTCACAAATGGGTGTTGAACAATGAGAACACATGGACACAGGGAGGGAAACATCACACACTGGAGCCTGGGAGGTGGGGGAAGGGGATAGAGGAGGAATAGTAGGAGGTGAGGGGACTGTGGAGGGATAGCATTAGGAGAAACACCTAATGTAGAAGACAGGGCGATGGATGCATCAGACCATCACCATGTATACTTATGTAACAAACCTGCACAATCTGCACATGTCCCCCAGAACTTAAAGTATAATAAATAAATTTTTAAAATAAAATAAAATGACTCATTGATAATAATAATAGAAAGAACCAAAGTACACAGGCCACAAAGAACACAATGAATGCAATGGTACCTATCATTTCAATACTAACATTGAATATAACTGGCCTAAATGCTTCACTTAAAAGATACAAAACTGCCAAATGGATAAGAACTCACCAACCATCTTCTGCCTTCAGGAGACCCACCTAGCACATAAGAATTCACACAAATAAAAGTAAAGGGGTAGAAAAAAGCATTTCATGCAAATGAACACCAAAAGTAAGCACAGGTAGCTATTCTTATATCAGACAAAACAAACTTTAAAGCAATAGCAGTTAAAAGAGACAAAGAAGGACATTATACAATAGTAAAAGGCTTTGTCTAACAGGAAAATATCACAATCCTAACTAAACATATATGCACCTAACACTAGAGCTCCCAAATCTATAAAACAATTACTAATAGACCTAAAAAATGAGATAGGTGGCGACACAATAATAGTGGGAAACTTCAATATTCCACTGACAACACTAGACAGGTCAACAAGACAGAAAGTCAACAAAGAAACAATGGATTTATACTATACCTGGGAACAAATGTACTTAACAGATATATACAGAACATTTCATCCAATGACCACAGAATACGCATTCTATTCAACAGTGCATGAAACTTTCTCCAAGATAGACCATATAATAGGCCATAAAATGAGTCTCAATATAATTAGAAAAATTGAAATTAGATCAAGCACTTTCTCTGGAACAAAGCTAGAAATCAACTCCATGAGGAGCCTTCAAAACCATGCAAATACATTGAAATTAAACAACCAGCTCCTGAATGAGCATTGGCTCAAAAACAACATCAAGATGGAAATTTAAAAATTCTTTGAACTGAACAACAGTAATGACATAACCTATCTAAACCTCTGGGATACAGCAAAGGCAGTAGTAAGAGGAAAGTTTATAGCCCTAAACGCCTACATTAAAAAGACTGAAAGAGCACAAATTGACACTCTAAGGTCACATCTCAAAGAATTAGAGGAATAGGAATAAAGCCCAAACCCAGCAGCAGAAGGAAATAATCAAGATCAGAGCAGAGATAACTGAAATTGAAACAAACAAACAAACAAACAAAAAATGTAGAAGATAAATGAAAGAAAAAGCTAGTTATCTGAAAAGACAAATAAAATTGATAGACCATTAACAAGATTAACAAAGAAAAGAAGAAAATCAAAATAACCTTACTAACAAGCAAAACAGAAAATATTACAACTGACACCAGCAAAATACAAAAGACCATTCAAGTCTACTATGAAAATATTTATGCACATAAACTAGAAAACCTAGAAGAGATGGAGGAAATTCCTGGAAAAATACAACCCCCCTAGCTTAAATTGAAAGAATCAGATACGCTGAACAGACCAATAACATGCAGCATCACTGAAATGGTAATTTTCTTTATTGTACTTTAGGTCCTAGGGTACATGTGCAGATAATGCAGGATTATTGCAAAGGTGCATACATGGCAATGTGGTTTGTTGCCTCCATCCCACCATAACCTATATCTGGCATTTCTCCCCATGTTATCCTTCCTCAACCTTCCCACCCCCTGTTGTTCCTCCCCTGGCCCCCATAAGAGATCCCAGTGTGTGATGCTCCCCTCCCTGTGTCCATGTGTTCTCATTGTTCAACACCCACCTGTGAGTGAGAACATGCAGTGTTTGATTTTCTGTTCTTGTGTCAGTTTGCTGAGAATGATGGTTTTCAGATTCATCTATTACCCTACAAAGGACATGAACTCGTCATTTTTTATGGCTGCATTGTATTCCATGGTGTATTTGTGCCACATTTTTCTTGTCCAGTCTATCATCGATGGGAGTTTGGGTTGGTTCAAGGTCTTTGCTATTGTGAACAGTGCCACAATGAACATATGTGTGCATGTGTCTTTATAACAGAATGATTTATAATCCTTTGGATATATATCTAGTAATGGGATTGCTGGGTCAAATGGAATTTGACCTTGAGGAATCGCCACACTGTCTTCCACAATGATTGAACTAATTTACACTCCACCAACAGTGTAAAAGTGTTCCTATTTTTCCACATCCTCTCCAGCATCTGTTGTCTCCAGATTTTTTAATGATCACCATTCTAACTGGCGTGAGGTGATATCTCAATGTGGTTTTGATTTGCATTTCTCTAATAACCAGTGATGATGAGCATTTTTTCATGTTTTTTGGCTTCATATATGCCTTATTTTGAAAAGTATCTGTTCATATCCTTCACCCACTTTTGAATGGGTTTGTTTGTTTTTTTCTTGTAAATCTGTTTTAGTTCTTTGTAGATTCTGGATATTAGCCCTTTGTCAGATGAGTAGGTTGCAAAAATTGTTTCCCATTCTTTTGGTTACTGGTTCACTTTAAGGATTGTTTCTTGTGCCTGACAGAAGCTCTGGAGTTTAATTAGATCCCATTTGTCTATTTTGACTTTTGTTGCCAATTATTTTGGTGTTTTCGTCATGAAGTTCTTGCTTATGCCTATGTCCTGAATGGTTTTGTCTAGGTTTTCTTCTAGGGTTTTTATAGTGTGAGGTCTTATGTTTAAGTATTTAACCCATCTAGAGTTAATTTTAGTGTAAGGTTTCTGGAAGGGATCCAGTTTCAGCTTTCTGCACATGGCTAGCCAGTTTTTCCAACATCATTTATTAAACAGGGAATACTTTCCCCATTGCTTGATTTTTGTCTGGTTTGCCAAAGATCAGATGGTTGTAGATGTGTGGTGTTGCCTCCGAGGCCTCTGTTCTGTTCCATCAGTCTATATCTCTGTTTTGGTACCAGTACCATGCTGTTTTGAGTACTGTAGCCTTGTAGTATATGACAAACCTATAGCCAATATCATACTGAATGGGAAAAACTGGAAGCATTCCCTTTGAAATCTGGCACTAGACAAGGATGCCCTCTCTCACCATTACTATTCAATATAGTATTGGAAGTTCTAGCCAGAGCAATTAGGCAAGAAAAAAAATAAAGATATTCAATTAGGAAAGGAGGAAGTCAAACTGTCTCTATTTGCAGGCAACATAATAGTATATTCAGAAGACCCATTCACCTCAGTCCAATATCTCCTGAAACTGATAAGCAACTTCAGCAAAATCTCAGGATACAAAATCAATGTGAAGAAGTCACAAGCATTCGTATATACCAGGAAAAGACTAACAGAGAGCCAAATCATGAGCAAACTCCCATTCACAATTGTACAAAGAGAATAAAATACCTAAGAATACAACTAACAAAGGATGAAAAGGACCTCTTCAAGGAGAACTAAAAATCACTGCTCAAGGAAATAAGAGAGAACACAAACAGATGGAGAAACAGTCCATGCTCATAGTTAGGAAAAATATTGTGAAAATGGCCATACTGCCCAAAGTAATCTATAGATTCAATGCTATCCCCATCAAACTACCAATGACCTTCTTCACAGAACTGGAAATAAACACCTTAAATTTCATATGGAACCAAAAGAGAGCCCGCTTAGCCAAGACAATCCAAAGCAAAAAGAACAAAGCCAGAGGCATCACGCTACCTGACTTCAAACTGTACTACAAGGCTACAGTAATGAAATGGTAATTTTAAAATTAACAACAAAAAAGGGGTCCCGGGCTCTGGCTGACGATACAATTATTTACCTTGAAAACACTAAGGACTTCAGAAAGCTTCTAGAACTGATAAAAGAATTCAGCAAAGCTTCTGGATACAAGATTAATGTACACAAATCAGTAGTTCTTCTACACACCAACTGCAACAGTTTTCCTTGAAGATATCCTTCACGTCCTTTGTTTGTTGTATTTCTAGGTACTTTAGCCTCTTTATAGCAACTATGAATGAGAGTTCACTCATTATTTGGCTATTGGTCTGTTATTGGTGTATAGGAATGCTTGTGATTATTCCACATTGATTTTTATCCTAAGACTTTGCTTAAGTTGCTTATCAGCTTAAAAAGATTTTGGACTGAGACAATCGGGTCTTCTAAATATACAATCATGTTGTCTGCAAATAGAGACAATTTGACTTCCTCATTTCCTAATTTAATACCCTTTATTTCTTTCACTTGCCTTATTGTCTTGGCCAGAATTTCCAATACTATGTTGAATAGGAGTGGCAAGAGAGGGCATCCTTGTCTTGTGCCGGTTTCAAAGAGAATAATTCCAGTTTTTGCCCATTCGGTATGATATTGGCTGTGGGCCTGTCATAAATAGCTCTTATTACTTTGAGATATGTTCCATTGATACCTAGTTACTCAGAGTTTTTAGCATAAACAGCTGTTGAATTTTGTTGAAGGCCATCTCTGCATCTATTGAGATAATCATGTGGTTTTTGTCTTTGGTTCTATTTATGTGATGGATTGTGCTTATTGATTTGCATATGTTGAACCAGGCTTGCATCCCCGGGATGAAGCCGACTTGATCATGAAGGATAAGCTTTTTGATGTGCTGTTGGATTCGCTTTGCCAGTATTTTATTGAGGACTTTCTCATCAATGTTCATCATGGACTGATAATTCATCATAGCCTGAAATTTTCTTTTTTAGTTGGGAATGGTACCAGCTCCTCTTTGTAGCTCTGATAGAATATGGCTGTGAGTCTGTCTGGTCCTGGACTTTTTTTGGTTGGTATGCTATTAACTGCTGCCTCAACTTCAAACCTTGTTTTTGGTCTATTCAGGGATTCGACTTCTACCTGGTTTAGTCTTGGGAGGGTATAAGTGTCCAGGACAACATGATACTGGTACCAAAACAGAGATATGGACCAATGGAACAGAACAGAGGCCTCAGAGGCAATGCCACACATCTACAACCATCTGATCTTTGACAAACATGACAAAAACAAGCAATGGAGAAATGATGCCCTATTTAATAAAAGGTGTTGGGAAAACTAACTAGCCATATGTAGAAAGTTGAAACTGGATCCCTTCCTTACACCTTATACAAAAATTAACTCCAGATGGATTAAAGATTTAAACATAAGACCTAAGACCATAAAAACCCTAGAAGAAAACTGAGGCAATATCATTCAGGACACAGGCATGGGCAAGGACTTCATGACTAAAACACCAAAAGCAATGAAAACAAAGGCCAAACTAGACAAATGGGATCTAATTAAACTCAACAGCTTCTGCACAGCAAAAAGCTATCATGAGAGGGCACTGACAGCCAACAGAATGGGAGAAAATTTTTGCAATGTACCCATCTGACAAAGGGCTAATATCCAGAATCTACAAAGAACTTAAACAAATTTACAAGAAAAAAACAAACAACTCCATCAAAAAGTGAGTGAAGGATATGAACAGACACTTTCAAAAGAAGACATTTATGCAACCAACACACATATGAAAAAAAGCTTATCACTGGTCATTAGAGAAATGCAAATCAAAACCACACTGAGATACCATCTCACATAGTTAGAATGGCGATCATTAAACAAGCAGGAGACAACAGATGCTGGAGAGGATGTGGAGAAATAGGAAGGCTTTTACATTTTGATGGAGTGTAAATTAGTGAAACCATTTTGTAAAACAGTGTGGAGATTCCTCAAAGGTCTAGAACTAGAAATATCATTTAACCCAGTAATCCCATTACTGGGTATATACCCAAAGAATTGTAAATTATTCTTTTTTAAAGTTACATGCACATTCATGTTTATTGTAGCACTGTTACTATAGCAAAGACTTGGAACCAACCCAAATGCCCATCGATGATACACTGGATAGAGAAAATGTGGTACATATACACCATGGAATACTATGCAGCCATAAAAAAGGATGGGTTCATGTCCTTTGCAGGGATATGGATGAAGCTAGAAACTATCATTCTCAGCAAACTGACACAAGAACAGAAAACCAAACACTGCATTTTCTCACTCATAAGTGGGTGTTGAGCAATGAAAACTCATGGACATAGGGAGTGGAGAATCACACACCAGGACCTGTCAGGTGCTGGGGGGTAAGCGGGGAATAGCATGAGGAGAAATACCTAATGCGGATGATGGGATGATGGATGCAGCAAACCAGCATGCACATGTATACCTATGTAACAAACCTGCACATTCTGCACATGTACCCCAAAACTTAAAGTATAACAATAAAGCAATAAATAAGTAAATGAAATGAGCTAAGGACATAAATAGGCCATTCTCCAAAGAAGATGTATAAATGACCAACAAACATGACAAAATGCTCAACATCTCTAACGATCAGGGAAATGCAAATCAAAACCACAGTGTACACCACCTCACTCCTGCAAGAGTGGCCATAATCAGAAAATCAAAAAACTGTTGATGTTTGCATGCATACGGTGAATAGGGAACAGTTCTGTGCTGTTAGCGGGAATGTAAACTAATACAGCCACTGTGGAAAACAGTGGTAAGATTCCATAAAGAACTAAAGATAGATCTACCATTTGATCCACCAATCCCACTACTGGGTATCTATCCCAGAGGAAATGAAGTCACTATACAAAAAAAAATGCTTGCACACACATGTTTATAGCAGCATAATTTGCAATTGCAAAATCACAGATCTTATCAAACGTCCATAAATCAACAAGTGGATAAAGAAACTCTGGTATATATATATATATATATATATATGATGGAATACTATACAGCCATAAAAAGAATGAATTAACTGCATTTGCAGTAACAAGGATGAGATTAGAGACCATTGTTCTAAGAGAAATATCTCAGAAACAGAAAACCAAACATTGTAACACTGTATGTTCTCACTGATATGTGGCAGCTAAGCTATGAGGATGCAAAGGCATAAGTATGATACAATGGACTTTGGGGACTCGGAAGAGTGGGAGGAGGGCAAGGGATAAAAGGCTACAAATATGGTGCAGTGTATACTGCTCCAGTGATGGGTGCACCAAAATCTCACTAATCACCATTAAAGAACTTACTCATGTAACCAAATACCACCCGTCCCCCAATAACTTATGGAAAAATAAAAACATAAAAATAAAATAAAATAAAATTCTCCAGAAATTTCTGCATTTGAAAGTTAAGTAAATCCCTTTTTAACACCCTATTGGTAAAATAAATTACAATGGAAATTAGAAAATATTCTGAGCTTAATGTTTATAAAAATATAACCTACCAAAGCTTGTAAAAGTAGCCTAAATCTTAGTTGTATTATAGAAAATAATAAAGACTAAAAAATTAATGCACAAAACTTTCTTTCAATAACACATTTCACTTAGCATAATACACCCCATGTTCATCTATGATACCGCAAGTGATTTAAAAGCGTCGTATTATGCCCTATAAATATATAATATTATTCATTAATTAAAAGTGAAATAAAATCTTGAAAGTCCTCCAGGTCCATACACATTGTCCAAAAATGGCAGGATTTTCTTCTTTTTTAAGGTTGAATAATATTGTATTATATATTACTTTTATAATATTGTATTATATATAGGTACAAATGTTTAGTTATACAGAATGCATAAATTCTGGTAATATAAGGTACAGCATGATGACTATAATTAATAATATGATACTAGGTATACAGATACATAAATATCATTCTATATAGAATACATATTTTCTTTACTCACTCATCTTTGATAGACTTTTAATATCTTGACTATTGTGAATAATGCTGCACTATACATGGAAGTGCAGGCATCCTTCAAGATACTGATTTCATTTCCTTTACATATATTACAAAAAGTCACATTGCTAGATGATATTTTTATTTTTATTTTTTGAGGAACCTCCATAGACTTTCCTACAATGGCCTTAGCAATTTACATTTCCAATAACAATGAACATGAGTTCTCTTTTCTCTGCTGAAACATAAATGCCACATGATCTCACTTATATGTGCAATCCAAAACAAGTCAAATTCATAAAAGCCAGAGACTAGAATGGTGGTTGCCAGGGACTGGGGCTGAAGAAAATGAGAATGTTGGTAAAAGGGTACAAAGTTTCAGTTATGCATTATGATAAATTCTGAAGATCTCAAGTACAGCATGCTGATCATAATTAGTAATACATATTGGATACATGAAATTTGCTAAGAGAATATACCTTAAATGTTCTTACCACAAATGAAGGTAACTATGTGAGATAATGGATACATTAACTAGCTTCATAGTGGTAATCACTTCCATTGTATACGTTTATAAAACATCATATTGTACACTTTAAGTACATATAATATTTGTGAAATATACCTCAATAACACTAGAAGCAACAAGAACAAACTATGCCTGAAAGACAACAGAAGATGTTACCAATCTGCTTGGTATGGCAAAAGCAGGTTAAACAGGACAAATGCTGCACAGTACTCTCTCTGGAAGGCGGTACTGAAGCACTGAAGTGAAGCAAAGCATCCCAGTGAGCAGTATTTTGGGGATTAAGTGTGGTTGTCCACTTCATGTATAAAGAGATATTTTTGAGTTGTGCATCCCCAAAGATTTGGGAACATGGATAACAGATTTGATAAGATATTGAGAAAATTGGAAATTTAAAAATGGAAAAAACTATTACAAAGCAGTTGGAGTAGTATGAATATCCCAGAATGGGCAAAAATGCAACAGTGAGTTTCCCACATAAATGCCTATCAAAGAGAATCTACTGCAGAGGATGCCTACAGAAATCGGGTCAGCAACATGAACTATAATTCAGCAACATGAACTATAATTCAGCAACATGAACTATAATTTAGATGTCAGTTGGGCTTTTCTTTTTCCCAGTCACGTTTGTAGTAGCCATGGCAGCAATGAATAGTTTACAAGGATTCAAAGAAGAACAAAATTTGTCTTTCACCATGACTTCTCTGGCTACTGTCAGTGCTCAAGGTCTAAAACATCATCAGCAATATCCATCACTGATTCCCTAACATGGTGCAAATAGCAAGGGAAACCAGCCAACAATTCTGTGACAGCTTACTTCATTGCATTATATTATATATTCTGGTTATATAATTGTCCCAGTACTTTAATCTTATTATTATTCAGGTAAAGTAATCCATTATCCATTGCCCGGGTACCACAATCATTGTCATTTCTAACTAAGGGATACATTTTCTAGTAAATGAAGTAAAGCAAATTACTCACCATAGACTTCACATCTATGACCACATTTCCCATCCCCTAAAGATATTGTCTAGATAGAACACTGGAAGGCCTCAGCCTCCTGAGTGACTGGGACTACAGGTGCGCACCACTAGGCCTAGCTAATTTTTGTATTTTTAGTAGAGACAGGGTTTCACTATATGGGCCAGGCTGGTCTTGAATTCCTGACCTCAGGATCTGCTGGCCTCAGCCTCCCAAAGTGCTGAGATTAGAGTCATGAGCTGCTGCATCTGGCCACAATACCCTTATCCTAACTACAGTTAAGTTTTTACACCAGAGTTTTTTCATAGCAATTCTCATCTCTGAATTTCTCAGTGTGTATATAAAAGGATTCAACATGGGTGAGATAACTGTATAAAACACAGTCATGAATTTATCAATAGGAAAGTTTAAAACAGGTCTAATATACATGAAAATACAGGGAACAAAAAACAGGACAACCACAGTAATGTGTGAGCTGCAGGTAGACAGGGCTTTGCGCCTCCCTTCCTGACTGTAAGTTTTAAGGGAGTTTAGGATGACTCCATAGGAGATTAGCAGAAGGGTGAAGATGACCATACAGATTGCTCCGCCATTGAAAACCACAGTGAGGCCTATAAAGTAGGTGTCAGTGCATGCCAGTTCCAATAATGGGTACATGTCACAGACAAAGTGGTCAATGACATTGGGGCCACAGAAAGGGAGACTGTACACAACAACAATTTGAAACACAGAATGCATAAAACCCCCAGTCATGGCCAGCACCAACATAAGGATGCAAACCTGTCGATTCATGATGGTCAAATAGTGCAGGGGCTTACAGATGGCCACATAGCGATCATAGGCCATGCCCACCAGAAGGAAGACCTCACTACCACCAAACAAGTGGTCTAAAAAGAGCTGGCCCATGCAAGCTCGGAAGGAAATAGTCTTTTTATCACAGAGTAAGTCTAGAATCAATATGGGAGAAATGGTGGTGGAATATGCAGCATCTATAAATGACAGGCAGACAAGGAAGAAGTGCATTGGGGAGCCCAAGGAAGGACTGGCAATAATAGTCACCACAATGAGCAGGTTGCCCACCATTGTCACTATGTATGTGAGTAAAAACACGACAAATAATGCTTTCTGCACATCAGGATCCTGCGTGAGGCCCAGGAGGACATATTCTGTAATGTTGTTACTCCGTCCCATTTACTCTTCTCTAAGGCTTGTATCAGAGTTGAGAGCTCAGGAGGGGAGGACCTGTAATGAAACAGTGAACAGGAGCATGAATACATCCATGATGTCACGGAGCACATCTTCATCTTTATGTCCTCAACAGTGATTTACGCACAATAAACATTTAGGAAGTCTCTATTGAGTTCCTCATCACCTCAAAGATTCTGGTTTGAGCCTACGGGTAACACATTCTGCTGCTACGTTTTAGTGAATGTTATGTACAGAAGAAGAGTTAAAGTCCCCACAGCCATTCATACATTTCATAACTCCTTATTTAAAACATGTTTCTTGGCACAACAGTTAGCTATGGTGAATAGGCAACAGAAACTTACTTTTTGGTGGTGGTAATAAACTCTAAATAAATAAATTGTCATAGATTCATTTCTTTGAGTTTGGAGTTGTGGTGGTGTCTTTATGATCAGTGTAGTATCAAAAATAACATGCTCTGAAATATCTCACTTAGTACTGTGGAATTCTCTGATTAGATATTTGGTCCTTCATGCCTCAAAGGCTGTTAAGTCTTTATGAATATCTAATAAAATGTCAAAAGACTGGACACTGACCTGTATAAATAGTAAAATATTATTTATCACATTCTTCCCTCTAGCAATTACTTGGTCTGACCCTCTCTTCACCTTATGAAGAGCTGTAAGTCTCTAAATTATATCCTTGCCTATTTCATAATTGTTTATCACACGTACAACAATATCCTGATTTTCAGCAACTAATTTTGAACTCAAGTGAACTAACTCATGACTATCACCAACTGCCACATTAGTAGTGAGTATTTTTTCTGAATTTTTGGGGTGAACTAGATGGTGAGAGAGGAGAAAATAGACACTGTACAAAGAGGTACAGAACAGTGGGATATGGTTTTATTTGTAACACTATTTAGATACTGAGAGTACAAAAATAAACCTTAGTGTCCAGATTCAAAAAACTACATAGTAGAAGAGAAATTGCAAGATCAATGTAAGGCAGCATGAATTTGAGTCATTATCTGGATGCATTTATGAATATGGCTCTGTTTTCTTACTGGAAAACAGTGTGATTACATTAGACGAATTCAGAATCCTTTCTAGTCACCATCTCCAAAACTGTTAGTGCACCTCTCCTTTATTCTATTCTGCTGATTTCTTTTCATTTTTCACATATTTATAATTAAATAGCAATTTCCAAGCTCATGACTGTTACATGAAAAATAGTAGTCAGTTGTAGATGTTTCATGGTTAAAGTGAGTAAATAACTACAAATTTCTCACACAATATGTGCCTCTTTAAAATTCAAGACATGTTTGGAGAGAAAGCGTAGCGTGTGGTGAAGAATGTGGACTTTGGAGCCACACTGCCTCAGCTACAACCCCAGCTTTACCACTTACTATATGATTTTGGGCCACTTACTAAACCTCTCTATGCCTCACTTTGATTTAAGACCTGTTGGGTCTTAAATCTATTATAAAACTGGCATATTTGGTTTTAATATATAGTAAAGTGTCTAGAACATTGGCTGGCATCTGGTAAAGCCTCAATAAATCGTAGCTATTACTCGTGTTCCTGAATGCTTCACTGTGAACATTGGATCAGAACTCATCATCTGGATCTTTGTCAGTTTGAAAAGATTTATAGACATAGTCCCAGAAAAGTACAAGAAGACACCTACAATTCAGGAAAGGCTTTTGAGGCACACAATATAATTGCCCATCTTAGGAATTATCCATTTAATTATGTAAGAGTATTGATTTTTATCTGTGATAGAAGGTCCTGACAAGATCAGGTAGAATTATAGTAGAAAAGTTTGACCCCTCATCAGAGGAAGACCAAATGGTAGAAAATAAAAGAAAAAGAGGTCAAATCAGAAAACAGAGTAATTATAATAAATAATACACATAGGTAATAAGAAGGTTAAGGTTAATGTGATAATTGAGGCAAGTATTCTCCTGAAAATTTTCTTCAGAAAGATTTTTTTTGTAAGGAAATAACAGAAGCACAACCTCCAGTGGGTCTCTGTGGAGAATCAAGAGGCTTCTTGGGATAGTCAAACAAACACAGCCCAGATCCTAGTAAGCAAAAACAAAGAGAAAAGAAAAAAGAAAACTCAGAAGAAAACAAAACACATTGATTGCTCAAAGTCTCAAGATCTGATGGTTAAGGACAAACTTAAATTACAGAGAACAATGGGACCAGTAGAGACACAAACTCAAACTTCCTGATAATTCACTGGTAGGAAAACTGCAGAATTACTACACCTCAAATGTAGACAAGATGATTGCATTTACAGAGATCTGGCAGTGGAAGAGGATGTGCAAAGTGAGAGTTTGGCTTCCTCTAAACATCAACTGTGATGAACATTCCATGTGTCTCCTTCACGTACCACTTTCAGCTGATTCAGGTTCTGTCACTGTTGAAGCTATAGGCTGATAGAGACACACCTGCTGAAGAACCCAAGGGAATAATGTAGTCTACAGCCAATTCTGTTATTTTTTCACACCTTACTTGCTGCAAGGTTTAGTGCCTTTTCCCCCTTTCATCATCAACACCAGATTTCAAAAGGATAATTCTATTTGGCAGTTTGAATGCTTACTTGTAAAAAATAAGTTATGTAAACTATCCATTCTAGATTAAATAATTTAAAATATAATATTTTAAATGCAGAAATGGCATTACTAGGCTTTCAATGTAGATTTCTAACTTAACATTTTTCTAGAAAAAATTATTTAATATATATTGCTAAGAACATGCTATTTTCAAAAGATAAAATTCCATAGTAACAAAAGAAACTCTATAATATTATATTTCACAGTCACATTTTTATAAATCTATTTAAATGACAGTAGACTACGTACCTTCCTGAGCATATATATCTACTAGTATGTTTCCTGGGATAATTTGTAGATTCTTAGGTAAAATCCCATATTATGCTTCTAAAACATAACAGGCATTTGTTCCTTTGTACTCTAACACACTTGCCATGATCCAGAATTTTAAATTCTCTAATCAAATATATTTAAAAGTAATTGTACACCTTTATTAATATATTGTGTAAAATACAACAACCCATAAACTAAGATTATAAATGTATTGGTTTATTTATTATACATGTAATATGGAACATGTTTCTTATTTGGCAAATGAAAACAATCAATTAGGCTATATATTAAAACCGAACATGCATTGTACATTCTGATAAATTTTCATGCTTGCTAGCTTAGCTTTTCCAATTAGAATTTATCCAACAAAACCACTGGTTTTTAAAACACTAGCTATTTTTCAACATATCACAGGAATTTACAATGAATATCTTTTGTCAATGGTTTCAAATACTCACATCTTGGTCCACAAAAGCAATGCTTCTTGCACTGAGGATTGCCATAGATACCTCATGCATCTATGTGTGATCATAAAACACAGGAATGTACATGGATGATCAATTGATATAGAATTAGTTCCTTGTGACTAGAGTTTCCATAGTTCCACAAAGGTTTCTCATTATCTCGATCTTCAGAGAAGTATAGCACCAAATCAAATGACCAAAATATAAAGATGCTTTAACATAATGTCAACATTTACTGTGCAAAGGTAATCGAACATTCTCTCCTGCTAAAACATTTCTTCATACAAAAACAAAGAGACTATCTCTGCCTGATTATGTAAAAGTTGACTTAATTAGCAGAAATTAACCTGGAGAAGACCCCTGTTATGTTTCACAAGTATCAACACTAAAATATGTTACTTGAAAGTTTTCTCAATTATGGTGAAGCAACCAGAAGGGCTTTTTTGTGATTGAAGGTTTATGATAACATTCACGGGCCCACGTATTAAGCTTTGTACCTAACAAGGACAATGCTGAGACTCAACTTCATGAAAAAACAAAGACAGAGCTTTCTCCCAGCTAAAAGCCAAACCCTTCATGCTTTCAGTTATTCAACCAGCATATCGCTAAGACCACATCTTTCCCAAGTAAAATTATGTCTCTATATTTCCCCAATCTCATCCCAGGACATTGAGACCTTTCACACATTTTTGCAAGCAGTGGTAGATGTGAGAAGAAAACATTACACCTAGAGGGCTAGATACCAACTGAAAACATACTCTACCTTGGGCATAAATTTCACTTTTTTGATATCTCCAGGGTTGTTCTATCAGGAAAATAATTCTTCCATTTATATTTGTAGACACAGTCTATGACTTTTACATCAACAATTTTTAGAAAGAGATAATAAGGCCATTATAGACTAGTTAATTAGAATATTTGGAACAAATTCAAATGAAGTAACCTCCCTTTAAACTTTTTTCTTAGAAAATCCCTAGAGGAAAAAGACTTGGCTCTTGCTAAGAAGAGTAGCTAAATGACAAGTAATGTGAAATGCCTGAAATATGAAAATAAAAATTCTAAAGCAAATTGAATAATAAATTTTGAATTTCATGTTATGAAATGTTGAGGTAAGGCAAGTAATAGTCAGAATGAGAGGAGAACCAGCTCTAGATTCTCTTCTCTAAAAATATTTCTGGTAAGAAGGGCCTTACCTTTCCTGTTAGAAAGTCTGTGCCCAAGAAGTCCTGAGGTTCAGAGGCAGAGAGCCTAAGAACCGAAGTTAATATTCTGATTCTTAGAAAAATAGATGATCATAGTGTTGCAGTTTTTGGTTCATGTACAGGCTTTTGATCAAGACCTCTATCTATGTCAGATATATCCGTAATGATCTATAGTCCATTGATATGGTTTGGCTGTGTCCCCTCCCAAGTTTCAACCTGAATTATATCTTTCTCGTTTTCTCTCACCACCGCCATGTAAGAAGTGCCTTTCACCTCCTATCATGATACTGAGGCCTCCCAAGCCATGTGGAATTTGGAATGCAATGTGGAATCGGACTACAAGTCCAACTAAACCTTTTTTTCTACCCAGTTTTGGGTATGTCTTTATCAGCAACTTGAAAACAGACTAATACATCCATAAACTCAATATTTTAATTTTATTCTAATATCAATTCAATCACTGTTTCCATAATAAATAAATTTTTATTTTCTAACAAGGGAGCAGTACTTAATATTTAAATATTGATATTTCTGTGACTGGGTTTACCATTGGCTCCACTGAACACCTTCATCTCATCTTATGTTTAGTTAAATGTTGGGTCTTTGTGTCATAAGAGCCTTAGATATAGAGTTCCATAAATACATATCTGAACCATCTAAGGTCTTTATCAACAAATGGGATCCATTTTAAAAAAATGGTCATTTTCAACTTACCTAATAAATGAATAGTAAGTTCATCTACCCCAAAGATGATATGTATTACTGCAAAAATTCGAAGAGCATGTCTGTAAGTGCTGTGCTGTCTTAGTGGTAAGTGCTAAAAGATGCACAAACATATCTTTAATTCTGAAGAACTATCAGATATGAACAAAGGTACTGTGGTATAAATGACTCCAAGATAAAGAACTCATATAAAAATAGGGCCTAACTGTCTATGAATTTAAATTCAGCTGAGTTTAAATAACTGCTAATACCAACACCCAGTGTGGAAGTGGATCCTTCCTCAGCCAAGCTTTCATATGAGACGGTAGCCCCAACCCGTACCTTGATAACAGCTTTGTGAGAGACTTTGAAGCATGGGAACCTACTAAACCAACCTTAGTTTCCTGACCTACTGAAATTGGGAATGAGTACATAGTGTGTGAATCACTAAGTTTTGAAATAATTTGCTATGAATAAATAATTCATAAATAGATCTAGAATGTGCTTCAAATATTGGGAAGCATGCCAATAAGTATTTAGCGAACCTATGAATCCAGGAAAAAAGTATAATGGAAATAAGCAAATATTTACAACTAAGCAATAATAAAAACATATCAAAACTGTGTCAGGTGTGATCAAAACAGTACTTAAAGAAACATGTATAGCCATAAATGCTTACATTTAAAATAAGCATTTAAAAGCAGCCATCTGAGCCTTTACCTTATGAAGCCAGATCAACAAGAGTAACTAAAAGCTAAGGTAAGTAAACAAAACAACATAAAAATAAGGTCAAAACCCAATAAAATGGAAAACATATAACAGAGAAAATAAAAATAGCCAAAAATGGGTACTTTTATAATGAAATTGATAAACTGTTAGCAAGAGTGATCAAGAGAAAACAAAGAGAAATTCAAAATACCAATATCAGAAATAATAAACACAAATCATCATCCCATAGATCCTTCAGATTTTAAAAGGTTAGAAAAATATTGGTTATTAAATGTATCATTTCAATTAACTTGACAGCTTAGATGAATTAGGCAAAATGTAGGGAAAGCACAACCTTCCTAAAATGATACAAAGATAAACTGAAACAGTCCTATATCTTTCAAAGTAATGAGCTATCCTTACTTGTAGATAACATTATAGTGTTTGAGAAAACCCTAAAGAATCTACAGACATAGCTATGTA